ACAACGGCACAACGGATATATAGCGGATATAGCGGATACACAACGGCACAACGGATACATAGAAAGCGGATGTAATGGATGATTTAGAAGGAAGGACCCATGTGAAGACAGACGTAATTTGTAAATGAAAGCAAAAAAAGGAGAAGAAATTCAATGACATTTGCGTCCGTCTGTTATTATTTTAGCGGAACGTCTCCAAAGAAAAATTTAATTTCCACTCAGCAAAATAGCATTGCAAACATGATCAGTTGCATTTGCAACATCCGAAAGATTATTTTCAAGTGATATGGAATATGTGTGCATTTCTTCAAGATGCAATAAGCCTTGTTTCAGAAGCTTAAAACAAACGAAATTTTGTTGAAGATGCATCAAACACACATACGTAACACACATCACACAGAAAAGCTTAATCGTAAAAGGTAAAGGAAAATGTAGGAGTAGAAGAAGCTGATGGAGGAGATGAGGAATAGTGCAAGAAAGGTGTAATGGAGGAAACGACTGTTGGTTGAAAACACGGTTAAAATGAGAAAAATAAAAAATAAAAGTAAAAAATAAAGTGGTAAATAGAAAAAACTTCTGCAGATATTTTAACAGGCCTGATGTTGAAAAGAACTGTGATGTTTTCTTTTTTTCATGAGGAGTGCTTCGTTGCTATGACAGAACAGTAATGAAAATGCAATCAATCACTCAAATGACAATCAATTCGATCATTTCTGATTGAAATTATACAGTACGGAATGCTTCAAGATAGTCCACCTTCTCATATATGCTATGCATAATTTAATTAAGCCAGATTGATTATTCTTATCATTTTCTCATTCCTATTTTATTGAATGTAAGTAAAAAAATGTATGTATCAAAATTTATGGGTAGTGAAATTTCCACAGAAATTTTTAAGTTGAAAAATTAATTAAAACAAAAAACAAGAATGGGTGGAACAAAGGGTTTGATAGAAAAAAAGACAAAAAAGTAGACATTCAAGATCAAAAGCAACATCAAAAGTCGAGTTTGAGAAAAAAAGATAAACATATAAATCCGAAAAAGATTGATGAAACATATAAATATATATTCTATTATCAAATCTCTAACCTAAAAACATCTAAATCAGACTTATCAATTTACTGTTTAGAATTTAAAGTTTGGAATATTGGATATAAATGAGAAATGAGTCCCACTATAATAGAAGATATTATTTTATTTAGACAATCAGTAAAGTAAAGAATAAAACTTGTAAAGTTTTTATGGAATGAATAAAATTAAAAAAATTAAAAAATTCCTATTACTTTTGTTATTCGTTAATAAATTAAATTTTCTTTCCATAAATGCATTAAAAATTAATTGCTAAATTTAAATTGATGTAAAAAAAAAGAAATAGAAAATGTGTCCAAAAATTATTTGGCTGAATAATATTTCAAAAATTTTTAAATGAAAAAAATGAAACCTTTATATCGGAATCCTCATTATTTCTTTCCTTAATATCATTCAGTAAAATTCGTTCATCAGCCGTACCATTCATCGTTTTTGGCGTATTATTAGTAAAATAATAATGTTCAGTATTTGAATTGGTGGTACCTTCCAGCTGCTCAATGCGTTTTAATAGGGCATGTAAACAGTGTGACAGATTATTCACATTGGCTTTTAGATTTGCCATCTCAACATCCATCCTAAATACTCAATATTGATATTTCTTCTATAAATGTTATCAAAAATTTTAGTAAAGTTATATTCTAATATAAAAATTTTCTAATTTTTCATACTATTATGCTAATTAAATGATTATACTTACACTTATCAGTAGTGATAGTAAGGTGTTTGATAATTAAATGTTGACGGAAAGAGATATGTAAGATTTATATGCTAATTTTAGATTTCGAAATCGTTGTAATGCATAGTTAAGTAATCTGCCCATAAGTTCTGCCTGAAAAATTTATTGTAAATTATGAAAAGCAACGGTTAAATGATATTAATAGATAAGCGAGATCATCATTTCTGTTGCAGATTTAGCAAAATGTCTTCAAGATACGTAATTTGTAAAATTCCTATCCAAAATTTGATCTCCTCAATCTAATTTCTTCTCACATTATATTTTTAATTTCAGCAGAAATTTCGAAAGGATTGCTTTAGCTTGGCAGAATTAATAACATAATGTTCCTTACCCAATAAATTTCATTCAAATTCGAGAAAGGGATGAACACTTATAATTAGCCGCTCACTGCTAATAGAAATGGAGTTTGACGTGAAAAAAAAAAATTAGCAGCAAATTTCGGGAAGGAGATCTTCTTCTTGAAGAATAATAAATTTTGTGGAATTTCCAGCTGAAATAAATTTCAGCTAATACCAATCAGTTAAATTAAAAAAAGTGTAAAATAGCGGAAAATGTATAAAGTTAGCAAGGCGAACACAATAGAGGAATAAAATGTAAACAAATAAATACAGTAAAGGGTAAACAAATAAATATAAGCAAATAAACAACCATATACATGTAATATTTGAGCATTTTCAGTCAGTTAATATATATTGTTAGAACCAATTATTTCAAGCAATTACCCAAAACAACATTCGAATTTTGCAAACGCGAAGTAAGCATCAACTTTTAACTTTAATAAGAAATGGCTTTTTAGTACTTTTTGGTACTGAGTATGACTATGATTAGGTAAATTATGTATTCAAACATTTCATCTTTTTATGATTTTCATAGGTATTGCAACTATAATTAGTATTAAAATGCCATACTGAAAAAAAAAAGTGTTATTCGATTCATTGAATATACCGGATATTTTATTATCTAATCATTAGGTTTCAGAACACGAATTGAAAACCAGCAAGCTAATTGCTTTTATTCCTTCATTTATTATAAATAATAACAGTTTTAATAATTCGGTGTACATAAACACAAATATATTCACATAAAATCATTCTTGACCAAACTAAATTTCGAAAAATGAGAAGTGATGAATTCAAATTATAACTGAATTAATAGGAATCCAAAATTTTATTGGCAAAGTAGGGGAAAGTTATTTTCAAAACTGAACAGGCTATTAATTTATTAAATGAATATTTACATTATTAATACATCGTTTTCCACTTTTTCTTGCAACATTTACATACATATAACTTTATATGTTTGTAAATATGTCCATTAATTTTATCATTCGATACCTTTAACCCTGCTAATAACCTATATTTAACTAACATATTACAGAATACATACAGTTAATAGTTGTCGACGAAGTTTTATTATTGAAGAAAAAAATTATGTATTCCAGTTAAAAATTACCATATTTTAAACTTTCAAATTAACTCTTTGAATTAAAGAGATCTACTAGCCTCTGCAATATATGAACAAAAAGATGTGACAAAGATCGCTTCTATTATAGCATATGTCAACCGAAAAATGAAGAAAAAATTGAACATTCGAAAAAAAGAAAGCCATGTGGATGACAAACATATTACTAAAATAAACTGAAGTGCTGTTCATAGAAATGAAATATGCGATGATGAAATTTGTCAATAATGATGGGAGATGGATATGAAATTAATGCAAGACAGGATCGATTAGTGGTACTTGGATGAGTTTTACCAGAATGGCAGATGACTGAGTGACTGTGACTCACTGACTAACAAATATTTAAGTCTTTGACAACAACAACAATACTCTAAACTTTTGATGACAATAGCGCTGGCCAATCAATGATTAATTTTCTTTTTTCCTACTTTTTCATATAGAATCGTAAACTAAATGTTGGCAAAAAAAACTTCAACAAAGTGCTTTTAAAATTCTAAACTTCTTTCTCCACTGACTCAATTCTTTTTTGATCAAATTGATCCAAAGTAAGAAAATATCTCGTGTAAAATGATACACTCCATGTTTTCGTCTGACATTTGAAGATTTTAATCTGAAATTTGATCGATAATGTAAACAATGCATTTTCTTGTTGATAACGAGTAAGACAATGACGATATGACAAGCGTATTTAATCAGAAAGTAAAGAAAAAAAGTTATTAGGTCATAATCTTATTGTAAAAACCACAAAATAATTATTAATATATCATTTATTCGAGGAAATTAAGTGAGAAGAAAGTTCACTTTATTACTTTTAGAACATTTTTTGCATTTTGCGCCATTTCACCTTTTTGAGTGAACGTTTCATCAATCTGTTTGTTTGTAATTTCTCGTCTACGCTCACTTACAGTCCGTTTATTTACTTCATTTTGTGCATTTCTTCTAAACTTTGCCAATATTTCCATTAATGCTAATAGATAAATAAATAATAAATTGAATATTTGAATAATCTGATTTGAATAATAGACCAAATTTTATTACTTCCTTCATGAGTAACATTACTCTTTAGAGTAACCGGTATAAGACGGCCATAATGAGAGGTGTAACGAAGGAATGCTAAACGAGGAAGGAGAGGAATAAAAAGTTTTTGGAGTGAACAAATTCATAAATCACACGTTGTAAATAAATAATATTGCCTAGTTTTCCTTTTTTTCTTTTCCCACTAATATGCGTTTCTTTTTTCGTAGCAAATTGAGGGATATTTTTTTTCGCTTTGCTGTGTTCTGTTGTTGTTTGTTGGATTGCAACTTTGTTGTAAAAGATCAAAATTCTAAAATTTAGGAATTCTGTCTGAAGTGTTATAGAAGAGATTATTTGGAATTTAACATTCCTCAGATCTCATTCGAAAAATCAATTTCATACATTTCAATCTTTTTATTGTAATTGCAACAATTAGCATGAGAATTTTCATCTGAAAAAAAACAAACAAACGAATTTTACAATAAATGTGATGGAATTGTAAATTTTGAACAATCTATTTGTGCTTGATCCTCGGTTAAAATTGTAATTTAATCCAAAAATTCGTAAGTAAAGCGAAAAAGCTGTTGGAAAAAATGAGATGCAAATTCACATTCAAATGTCAATAGCGAGGAATGATAAATTTCTCTCAGAAGAAATTAGGACAAGAAATACTATTTCAATTTTTTATTCACTGTAATTCTTGCTTTTATTTGAGAAATGATTATTGATGGATTATTTAAAAATAGACAAACTAATCAAATAAAGTAGATAAATAGTTTTCTAAAAAAAGAATTTATCCTTGATTTTATTGGACGGGATGGAAAATGATGAAATGCAAATCGATATATTCGAACTCATAACTCACAAGCAAAGCCTAGCAGAAGCATCAAAAATCGATCAAATAGTGGCCTATGACGGAGTGAGTAATTTATTGGACATTGCCTAGTTAGAGTGCAATTTACTATGAAACTCATAATTTGGCTTTTGAATACTTTATACTGAAAATAGCTATAAGAGGATTTCTTTCAATCAATTGCATGCTATATTGTTTTTGACAACGATTTATAATTTGTTTAAAAAAAATCAGCTCGAAAGCAGATTGAACTGGAAGCTACTGTGGACATGCAAAATTACTAGTCTATGATTCTAATATTCTATAAAATTCACTAGTAATGAAGATTTCGATTAAATTGATTTCAGTTGGTAATTCATTCAACATGTATGAAATTTTTGAAAAATATGCATAAAAAAGTTTTCATCCATCATTTATTCACTTGCTTACTAACGTTACTATTCTCATAAAACCAACTGAATTACTGAATTGAAGCAGATAAAAATGTATTATAATGACAAGAAGCAAACGAATTGATTAGCCAAAAATGGGCTGATATGTCTGAAAGACCAAACTGGCCTTGCCTAACTTTGCCTAACCTAACGCTTATTCCTAATGAGCCATTAGAAAAATTGGTTTTTCAAAAATTTCCTGCTCTCTCTGGTAATATCATGCAAGTAAATATCTGTCTCTCATTCTGCTTTCATGTTGGACATTCTGCTAAGCCGATAATCATAACAATACGGCTTAAATGCAAGACTTTAAAGATGCTTTACTGAGATAGAAATCAATGGATGGTCATTCCCACTGACTAAAAATTTTCAATATTCGAAAGCATATCAGATTTTGAAAATTTATTCTATAGTTTTAAACAATCTCCGTAACAATCAAGAGTGGGCGAAAAAAGTTAAATGATTGGAGTATATGAATGAACAGTACGGTGTATAATTCAAGATTGATTGAAGCGGATGCAATTGTGATCTCTGCGAAGTGCTACATCAATACTCGAAAACTAATTCAAAGTTCACGTGCGTGGAGAAAAATGGACATGAATCACCATAAGAATTCTTAGTGATCGCAAAAACAATAAATCGATATGCAAACAAAGAAACATCAGTTTCAAATTTGCTATGAATTTAGTGCAGTAAGTGTCCCAAATTGAATGTCACGCTGATCATGCTTATAATTTAGCGAAAGAACATGTAAAGATCGGACATGCCGATTGAGATGAGTAATATTAAATTAAATTGCAAAAATTAGAAATGAAATATTAAAATGAAATGTTTCGGAATATTAACAAAAGAGTTAGAAAGATAGTCATCGTAAATAAAACAATTGTTGATAATCAAAAATGTCACCAAAAATTATACACAAAAATTTTCATTGGTTTTCTTTTAAATTCATTCCATGCAATCAGTATAATCTTCGGCTATCCTGAAAGCTGCAGAACAGAAACTTATGAGGAAACATATTTTGTGAACACTTTAAAACAATTCAAACAAAAAATTTCTTCTCCAAATGCAAATTGCTTTTTATGAAAAAAAAAATTCATTTCAGCGTTCCATTTCATCCCATAACATCACATGACAGCTAATTGCATTATATGAATAGATAGCTTTATAAGAAGAAATTCCATTCTTCCGAAAATGTATTTACTTGAACGAAACTAAAATAAACTCTCAAAAGTGATACTCCTCCATCTTTTTTTTCACAGACTATGAATTTAATGGATTCCTGCGGATGAGAGAGAATTTAAGAAGGCAATTTCCAACGGAAGTAAACAGTTCAAACTTTAATCTACTGAAGATACATTGGTTAATAGTCGAGACAGTTAAATAGAGTATATGCGAACTTATTGATGATAGCCAATTCTGTTTGTGATGATCTAATCAATAGTTATTTTGGACCTTTCTGTTTTTGTACTCCACACTTCTATATGCTACTTAACAGAGATAACCTCAGTTAGGGATAGGAAGATCGACTTGAGAAACACTAAGGAATTTTTGGGAAAAATTAAATCTTTTCGAAAAGTCATGCTCATGGATAATTACACCAAACGTAAATGAATAAATGTTCATTTCTGAATTCATTAACTAGACGAGATCCATTAAAATCTGTATTATAATGAAACCTACACATACAGGAGACAAACTCTACTTCACGAAGCTTACGGCGATACTATGTTCTTGAAATGAATAAATTTCAGAATACAATAAATTGAATTGCAGAATTATTTCCGGCGATAGTTTTGAGCCTGATGATGGAAACAAAATTCACATTTATTTACTCGCATCCCACAATACAAACAACTTCCCCATAGAATTAACAAACACAGTGACCAGTAGCGGATACTTGCCAAGAAATAAAGGCATTTACTGAAGTTACCACTGATCAATTGTTTCATACCATCCTTAAGATGATTTTTTCAGATATTATCCGATACTTCTTATAGTGCATCCGCCACTAAAAAAATGATGTGGAAAATGATGCTTAATACAACGTATACAGCAAGCGATAGTTAGAACTTTCACTAATTTCTTACTCTTTCAAGACATTTTCATGAAAGCAAATAATAAATGTTAAAGATAGAAGCTAAGCAAATGGTCCATCTAAAGTGCACCTAACATTCCTGATCCATGAAATTTACAAAGCTAGTATTTTGAAAGTTCAATTATTCAATCACTCATAGTAGATATCTAGTAAAGTAGTTCCTCAGCGGTTAAGCTTCTTTTTAGAATGGAACTATTTCGAAACGGTATTTGAAATAAAAAATGCTTTCGATAACA